AGAACATACAACATCCACACTCTCACACTCTGTAGAACAGGGGGAGAACATACAAACTCCACACTCTCACACTCTGTAGAACAGGGGGAGAACATACAACATCCACACTCTCACACTCTGTAGAACAGGGGGAGAACATACAACCCCCACACTCTCACACTCTGTAGAACAGGGGGAGAACATACAAACTCCACACTCTCACACTCTGTAGAACAGGGGGAGAACATACAAACTCCACGCTCTCACACTCTGTAGAACAGGGGGAGAACATACAAACTCCACACTCAAACTCTGTAGAACAGGGGGAGAACATACAAACTGCACCCCGAAAGGTGCTCGAGTTGGGACTCGAACCCAGATAATTCTTGCTGTGAGGCACTGGTGTTACAACTGCGCCGCCCTTACCACCCATAATTGGTCAGGGCGGAAATGCGATGCGCTCCTGTAAACATCATGTTGCCGTTTCAAGCACCGATGCACTTTGAGGAGACACGCTCTCGGATTGAAATCCTGACCAGGCCTTTGCTTGTTAAGCGGGGCTCGCCGTACAGTTCTTAGAGGAATTATCAATTCGGTGCATCTTAAACGGAGCATTCGTCGCCTCCTGCGCCGCTACCGCGATGGCAACGCGTGCGCACGGCAGCCCCTTGTTGCTACGGCGCTCTGGGCATGGCCTGCACCAGCCGGGCGGTGACCCGCTTGGCCCCCAACTTACATATTTGGCAACCGGCCGAATTGCGAGACGTCCGGTGTAATTCCAAAAGGGGCTCCAGAGTGGCACGGGGCATGGGATGTAACGATTCCCCCACCCCAATCCAAGATTTTTTTTAGGGGTCCTGGTTTCGACCCAATGGCGCGGTTGCACGCATCTGCGGAATCCACCATGGTGCGATTTGAATAAAAGCAAAAACAAAACTATGAAACTGAAATAAATCGCTTCTTGAACTCGATGCACTTACCACGGATGCAAGAATCCAATGTACCGACCGCGATATCACTGCGATGGTGATCAGTGATTTTGTTACTTCTCAGTTATATATTACTGCCATTCTTTGTTTGCCGACCATTCTGATTGTAAGCGACGGTCGGCTGAAACTGGTTGCAAATGCCGCAGCGAGGGTGCTTACACATGCTGTTAATCAGAGCACATTTATTCCACTCTTAAAATCACCGCACTGGTTTTCTGTGAACATCCAGGATTGATTAGAAATGTCCGCTTAAGAATGTTACCGGCCTACACATGGGCCTTCGTATTTACCGCAACCGCAAAAGCTATTACGATTTTAATATTTTTTATTTTACAAGGTAGGGCCCACTGAGCTATGTAGCTCTTTTTCAGAAACGACCTGGCCACAAATTATAGCTCAATGAAGTGGCTTATCATGTGGACATTTATTGCAGCCAAATAATGTACTCTAAAGGCATGTTGATTCTAAACGTGGAGGGAAACACGAGAGGACCCAGCGAAAAATCCACGCGACCACGGGGGAGAGACACTTCCGACTCGCAAACGAGTCGGAAGTGAACCCACGACCTCCTGTATACCAGGCGAGGTAGTCAACATCTTGCTACCGTAGCTATTTTTCAGAAGCGACCTTTCCAAAAATGATCGCTCAACGAAGTGGCTTATCGTAACGTGGAAATGTATAGCAGCCAAATACTCTAAACGCACGTTTTTAAATGTGGAGGGAAAAACCGGAGGACACGGAGAAAAATCCACCCGACCATGGGGAGAGAGACACGCAAACTCCAAATATACAGCAGCAGGCGTCAGGGTCGGGATCGAACCCACGACCTCCTGTACACCAGGCGAGGTTGTTAACATCTCCTAGCCACCGCAGCGCCCGTGTGCGCCTCAGTTGCACCATGGTCTCGGTGAGCGCAGAACTTTCGGTGGTTCTGAGAAGTCGTTAAAACCCAGGAAGGGCGAGAAGCCTTCAGTGGCTCCGCTCCCTGCTTCCGGAGCTCTGTAGCAGTCATATCAGCGATGCTGCTGGCACAATCGAATATGATATTTTAAAAAAACACCGTATTGAACGATACAAATTATTATAAAGACGGTTTACGACGCGTCTATATATTTCGCGAATCAGGCGCGGAGCAAGAGCTCAAAGTCCCTTGCACGCCACCCTGAACCAGGTGAGGACCTGAACCAGGTGAGAAGCTGCACCAGGTGAGAGCCTGAACAGTTGAGAGCCTGCTCCAGAAAAAATGCCTGAACAAGGTGAGAACCTGCTCCAGGTTAGATACTGAGCCAGGTGAAAGTCTGAACAAGGTGAGAACCTGCTCCAGGTTAGATACTGAATCAGGTGAAAGCCTAAACAAGGTGGGAGCCTGCTCCAGGTTAGATACTGAGCCAGGTGAAAGCCTGAACAAGATGAGAACCTGCTCCAGGTTAGATACTGAGCCAGGTGAAAGCCTAAACAAGGTAAGAACCTGCTCCAGGTTAGATACTGAACCAGGTGAAAACCTGAACAAGGTGAGAACCTGCTCCAGGTTAGATACTGAGCCAGGTGAAAGCCTGAACAAGATGAGAGCATGCTCCAGGTTAGATACTGAGCCAGGTGAAAGCCTGAACAAGGTGAGAACCTGCTCCAGGTTAGATACTGAGCCAGGTGAAAGCCTAAACAAGGTAAGAACCTGCTCCAGGTTAGATACTGAACCAGGTGAAAACCTGAACAAGGTGAGAACCTGCTCCAGGTTAGATACTGAGCCAGGTGAAAGCCTGAACAAGATGAGAGCATGCTCCAGGTTAGATACTGAGCCAGGTGAAAGCCTGAACAAGGTGAGAACCTGCTCCAGGTTAGATACTGAGCCAGGTAAAAGCCTGAACAAGGTGAGAACCTGCTCCAGGTTAGATACTAAATCAGGTGAAAGCCTGAACAAGGTGAGAGCCTGCTCCAGGTTAGATACTGAGCCAGGTGAAAGCCTCAACAAGGTGAGAGCCTGCTCCAGGTTAGATACTGAACCAGGTGAAAGCCTGAACAAGGTGAGAGCCTGCTCCAGGTTAGATACTGAGCCAGGTGAAAGCCTGAACAAGGTGAGAGCCTGCTCCAGGTTAGATACTGAACCAGGTGAAAGCCTGAACAAGGTGAGAACCTGCTCCAGGTTAGATACTGAACCAGGTGAAAGCCTGAACAAGGTGGGAGCCTGCTCCAGGTTAGATACTGAGCCAGGTGAAAGCCTGAACAAGGTGAGAACCTGCTCCAGGTTAGATACTGAACCAGGTGAAAGCCTGAACAAGGTGAGAGCCTGCTCCAGGTTAGATACTGAGCCAGGTGAAAGCCTGAACAAGGTGAGAGCCTGCTCCAGGTTAGATACTGAACCAGGTGAAAGCTCCCTTCACCTGATGAAGGCCGCTTGTGTTGTGGCCGAAACGTCGTGAGAATATTATTGTGTTATTTTATTTTATCAATTTATTATTTTATTCTCATTCTACGTGACTTTACCGAAAGAACCAAAGAAGATGAGAGCCTGCTTCAGGTTAGATACTGAACCAGGTGAAAGCCTGGACAAGATGAGAACCTGCTTCAGGTTAGATACTGAACCAGGTGAAAGCCTGGACAAGGTGAGGGCCTCAGCAGGTCACCATCTGAATGGTAGAGAGCAGGGACAGGTGAGAACCTGCACCAGGTGAGAACCTGAACGATGTGAGAGCCTGAACCCACGACCTCCTGTATACCAGGCGAGGGAGTTAACATCTCGCCGCCTTTAAAGGAAACGTATGTGATGCCAATGGCCCTTCTTCAGAGCACACGAATATGCACGTGTGTTGAACTTCTTTCGCACGAGGTGCGGGGGAAGGGCAACAAACTAAACACGAAAAATCAGTTCAAAATAAAAGAGTTTTCTATCTAGATTTTAAACTGCGTAGCTCCAGTGGCTTCCTAATGCAGACGCGAGCAGTCACGGGGAAAGCGCAAGAATCCATTCGTTCGTTACGCAGAGTCAGCGAGAGACCGTTGCCGACAAACGTCGTGTGACCTCTGGCGACAGCTTTCGCACGAACTGCTCTTGGCTGCCATACACCGGCGTCTCGGGTAATTTGTTTAATCCACGAATCACGGTGGGGGGTGTGTGGGGGGGGGAAGGGCGACCGTAGCAAGGATGCCGAATCTAATCTCGTGCCTAGAGCGAGGAAGTCGCCCCGTGTGCACGGTGAGAGAAAAAAAAGAGTTCAAAGTCACGACCAACGTATGCATGCGCGTGTGTTGAACTTCTTTTGTACCGCACGTAGCCCGACCGTGCCATTCGGCGGTGTGGGGGAAGGGCAACAAACTAAGCGCAAATAGCAGTTCTAAAAAAATAGGCTGGGTAATCAAGAGTCGGAGAACACTTATTACATCGTTTTCTGATGACAAGTTCTTAAGTTGCCAAGTGCAGTCTCCGACCCTCATTACCATCCAATCTGTCTCTCGAGCGTTTCTGTTTGTGAGCTATAAAGAAGCCCCATTGCCAGATACGTCGCCGATTAGGCCACAGTGTCGCTGACGAACGTGTCGAGCTATTTGTCAATTGTGCTTGTTGCAACACTGCCAACGCGGTGGCATTCCTGTCATCCCCTTATCAGGGGCTGCCTACCTTATTACAGACCTTATTGGTCACCCCCGTGCCCCTTAAACATCTCAACGTTCATCCTACGAAGTCCTATCACGCCGTATGGACCTGAAAACTCAATTTTCCTCGACAAGAATACGGGTAAAGCGTATGGGTTGACACGGTATATGGTGGCATCGACAAGCTAAGGACAATGAACCATGTGCCGCCTAGATCCTGGGTTTGGATCCGGATATCATCCACCCCGATCCTCGAGCATGTATGCACGTCTGTATGTTGAACTTCTTTCACACCGTACATAGCCAAACATGCTAATCCGAGGTGCGGCAGAGGGACGACAGTCGACACACAAAAAGCAGGAGTCAATAATTGAGTTTGAAATTTTCATTTGAAAGTGCATAGCTCCAGTGGCTTCCTGATACACTAAACCCTCTCTGTAAAAAAAAAATATGGAACGCTTCACGAATTTGCATCTCACCCTTAGGCAGGGGCCATGCTAATCTTGTCTGCATCGTTGTCAATGTTGGACACGTGCTGCGGTCGAGTGAGTTGATGGTCTCCGCCCGGTCGTCAACGACCACGCTGTAATGCGTTTTGTCACTTAATTTGCCTTAATATCTGTCTTGAGAAACACCCTGCAAATCAATGATTGCCACGTGAAGAACACTTTGCAAAGGGAATTGTAAAAATGCGTGCCCCTTTGTAAAGCTTTGGGAGGGGCATCTCCATGAGTGGCTCTCTGACACATGGATGGTACAGCACTGCTGGCTGCAAGAATTGCCAATAAAACATTGCCTGGCCTTGCCGTATGATCCCCAATTAAACAGCCGTAGCATAATCGGGGGAAAAAATAATCATAAATGAGAAACACTCGGCACTGTTGATCGTCATACTAAGGATAAGGAGGATGATTGTTTCACAGATGCAAAACAACACTGAACATTCCTCCCATCCGTGAATTTTGTCGATCTGCAAAACCCCCATAGTCCAAAATCAGTTTTACAAATGAGGCGCGCTGTGCCTCTCGCTGTGCCGCTGCAGAGCTGCCAAGCCAAGCTCTCAGCTCGTCATCTGTCAGCTTACAGGTCCAGTGCAAGGGACGTGCTCCGTTTCATCTAAACTAAACCGCGGATACACACATATATATACGACCTGTGTTTATAAAATCGCAGAAATGCTGCTGGGAGAACAGCCTGGAAGGATCGTTGACACTGCCTGGCCATGTTTGGTGAAGAAGCAGAAGAAGGCGGATGGAATGTGACTCCGACGTCCGAGCGAGGCGCTACGACACCTCGTCAGGCTCCACTCTTGACCGCCAGCTCATTCGCTTGCCGATGCGCGGCGTTATTTAAACAAAAAAAAATCTCCTCCATCAGGGCAAGCAAAATTGACTTGCGGCACAACTGAATGCTCAGCGATTAATAAAAAAAATAAGATAAAAACACCGCGTGTTTTAGTGTGTTGGCGCTCTTTGGTTCCGTGCACAAAAAGAGTTTCATGTTGGGGCTGTATCCGGTTCACACGAAATGCGTTTTGGTGTGTCGCTCCTCAAAAGGAAAAGCGTATCACAGGCGACGTTTCGGGCAATGGCCCTGCTTCACAGCGCGTAATTTGACGAACGTGTTGAGCCTGTTGCCCTCTGTGCTCGCGCGCCGCCACTGCTGAGGCTGCCGCATCACCAAGCGATTTGCTTCGGGGCCCCTCACTGCTCCCGTCGACGGCCGTGAGAGTGAAGGGAAGTCATCACCCGTCGTTTCACGCGACCGGTCACTGACCTTCGCACAGCGTGCCGTGCCTTCTCTTTCAAGCTTGGCCAAAATTAAACTCCGGAGCGAGTGACGTCACGACTGCAGCCTCGCACACGGCGAACTGTTGCGAGCTTCAACTTTTTATGGGAAGATCCACTAATGCGAACGCCGTGATCTCCGAGTGAAATAGCGTGCGTCACGACCGCAGTTCAAGCCGGTAGGTTGTTGGTGATGCATCACGTGATCAGAGAGCAGGCAGCAGGGCCTCAAAGCAGCCCTGGTGTTTTTTGCCGCATGCAACAAAATTCCATTGGGAAGAACCCGTAGATGACCCCAAGCTAAAATAAAAGTGGGGGCTTTTTTTTTTTGCTTTTTATATTTATTTTAAAAAAATGTATGCGCTAAAAACGAATTGTTTACAAACTGTCCCAGAATCTATGTGGCACCACGATCACAAATCCTACCACGTACAAAACGTCATCTCACGCTGATGAATCAGCATTAACTCCTGTGTGCAAATGAACAAATGTTAAGTTTTATCTTTGGAAGGGATGATGCCACAAATAGGCTTATCTTCTTGACGCACCCTTCACAATCTCTGCTGCAGATCTCTCCACCAACAACATGGGTTGTGAGTGAGTGGACAGTTGGTGGCGAGGGTTTAACACGCGGGCTTTCGCCACCAATATTATCCATTTTAGAAGTTTCTTGGGTTAGATCGCGTAAATATAAATGTGTCGTTAAACCCGCGAACACCCGGCACAGACAATTATTAGGGTTTGTCATGTAAACAAAATGTGACAATTCGTTACTAGTTCAGCACACCGGTGTCTTTGAGAGTGAACCCACAACATTCATGTGACACGTTCCTGCTCTTCCGATTAGCACGGTTGGCTACCTACGGTGCGAAATAAGTTAAACATACATACATCTTTATTAATTGGCTGCGTTGGTTGGAGGGGGGTTTACGGCACGCATTTTATGTACACGATGTGACCAAAACTATAAACTATGAACTTTGCCAACCACCAAATCGTCTGGGTACGAGATTTATGAGCTTAAGTAAACTCAACGTCGCTCCACTGGATCACCAAATGTATTATTATCATGTTTACACGGTCTCACGACTCTCTTTCAAGAGTGCCTGCCAAATGTTCGCAGCAGGTGGAGGATGGTCGCTCTGTACCATCGCAATTGGGAAATTTGCGGAGGAAGCGTTTTAAAATTTGGATCTCACAGGAGCGAGATGGACTTTTCCAGGACAGCCTCGATTCTATACTCTTTGGTGCTTTCGGTAAAGTCACGTAGGTAAAAAAATAAAAATAAAGTTAATCAAAATCACGACGTTTCGGAGGCAACACAAGAAGCTTCCGTCATCAAGTGGCAAGTCACAGCAAAATTAATTTACTGTGGTGAGCAGAGAGAGCGAGAGCTGTATGTGACACGAAAACTTCTAATCTAGCCTCAATTCTCTTGTCTCGAGCAAAATGATTTGGCACAGATTGCCAGTGGCTGGCACGCCAGCCGACGGAAGAGACCAATAGGGGCGTTAAAGAGTTGAGTCTACGCCCTGCTAATGGCACGTACCTGACTGAAAACCATCGAAAGATGAAAAAAAAGGCTTTGTTCACAAGTTTCGATGGCATTGAACCCCCGAAACGTCTCTCGAGAATGAACTTCCGCTCGGCACGATAATTCCTCCACGAGAGCGACAGCCGGTGGCGCGGGGCCAGGGTGGCGGAGACCAATACATCGCGACGCGCAAGGATCACCACCGCCGCGGTGAAGGTGGGGGGGGGGGACACGCAGATGTACCCCGAGCATGCGAGACCTGCGATCGTACAGCTGGCTGCAAGGTGCATGCCCGCGTGCACGCGTTTGTGTACCCGAATTGTTCAATGCGTTGTGGATCGCTCTGCAACACAGCGGTGGGCGCTGCTGAAGCAGCGGTGAATTGGCCACGTTCGTTCATCACGTGACAACGTTGTCAATTGGCTGTGTCAGCTGAAAGGCCCACAATACTTCACAAATGAACCACGATAACTTGCTGACAATCGTCACAGAGCATGAACCATCACGCAAACTCCGGTCGTCCTCACAGCAGCGGCGGCTGTTGGCTGCTGACCATCGAACAAAGTCGGTCACCGCATCGCGCGCTTTCAGATGCGCTTCTGCGGCCGTCTGGAACGCTCTTCTTTCAGATATTTGGAAGCCACTGGAGCTATGCGCTTTTAAATAATCTAGATTGAAAACTAATTTCTTTAGAACTGCTTTTTGTGTTTAGTTTGCTGTCCTTCCCCCGCACCTCCGATTAGCACGGTTGCCCATGTGCGGTGCGAAATAAGTTCAACATACAAACACACATAGAGGAGGGTGTGCGACACACAATTCACTCAAATAGCGATCTGACCCCAAAACCAATGATGAACCAGACTGGACGCGTTCGCTTCTGCCCCCTGACCCTCTGCCTACGCTGTCCTCTGGACAATCACAGTTATCCAGGACACACAACCACGACGCTGCAGGCGGTACAAAAAGTGCCCGACTTTGCAAAATTCCCCCCCAATGAGTCTCTCGCTCACCGCGCGCGTGTGGAGTCGAGTCGGCGCGGGCGAGATAGATGAACCGTTGTCGATGACGCTTTCAACGGGGGCAATTTTTTAGGGCCTTTGGGCCTAGCCCTTCCTCCCCCTCGTCCTTTTACGCTGAGGCGGCCGAGCCAGAAAATCGGGTCGGGAGTAGCGGAGTGGTGCAACCGCTCAACGTTCGAGCCTGTGCTCGGCAACCGTAGTTTTAAAAACAAACAAAAAACTACGCACACACATACACACACAAACTGTGTTCTCCTTCGCCCTGGGGCTGAGAGGACGTTTGCAGACAAAACGCGATGCACGCAGGCACAACCGTCCGCACCTCCGATGAGAACGGTTGGCTGCGTACGGTGGGAAAGAAGCCCAGCGTACATCCATACGCAGATACAAAGAACAAAGACAAAGATCCCTCATATAGCCTTAACAGACTCTAGGGGCAAGTGCTGTTAGCGAGCACCTATGAAGGCCGGAACGGTACACGAGGGGGTGGGTGGCCAGCACCACGCCCGACCGCCTTTGTCTCCCTAGTGGCAATGTTTACACATCGCACCAGGTACTCATTTGAGGCTGAGTCGACCTAGGGGAGGCCCGGGACCGGTTCAGATAATCGTCACTGGTGTTGACCGTGAGCGGGAATCGAACCCGGGTCGCCAGGTTCATAGCGCAGCGCGCTAACCGCTACACTATCGCTTCCCATTACGCAGATACACACACACACAGCCGTGTAACCGCAGCTCCCACGGCGGCAACGGCGCAGCCGCGCTGTGAACCGCTGACACTCGGAGACAGCCACCTAAGCACAGGCTGAGAGACGCCTGGAGGATATCACTGCGTCTCTGCCTCTCCGAGAAGGAGTGGATGCACAGTTTGCATTGTAAGCAGCCTTTCACACATGGCCATCTAGGGTCTATTGGCAAAACAAATCAACGACTCTTTTTTTTTCTATCATGAAAATGGACAAAGCCGAGGAATTGTTTGATGGCTCGAGAGGCCACCTGCACACTGGCTTCGACGAGAGAGTGCACGGCCGTTCGTAGTTGGTGGAGCGATTTGTCTGGTTCATTCCCGATAACGAACGAGACTCCGAAAGAGAGCTATGAGAGCGCGGTCTTGTAAAGATGGAGGGTGCATTCGCGCACGTGCAAATATGCATGTAACCATTCACAAGCGGAAGTACACAGATGTGTCTTTCCCTATGGGAGACTGGCA